CTGCCTGACAAGGCCAGCATTTTTTTTTTACTCGAAAGGCCTTTTGCACCGCTGTAAGTCGTAAGCAGTATGTAGTAAGTAGAAAGTAGTAAGGAGTAAGTAGTAAGTAGTTAGTAGTAAGTAGCAAGTAGTACGTAGTAAGTGGTGAGTAGACACTAGAAAGTAGTAAGTAGTAAGTAGTGAGAAGTAAGACGTAAGTAGTAAGCAGACAGTAGTAAGTAGTAAGAAGTAAGTAGTAGGAAATAAGTACTAAGCAGATAGTAGTAAGCAGTAAGTAAGTAGGAGTAGCAAATAGTAAGTAGTAAGTAGTAAGCAGTAAGCAGTAAGTAGTAAGTAGTAGTAAGCAGCAAGTAGTAAGTAGTAGGTAGCAAATAGTAGGTAGTAGGTAGTAAGTAGCAAGTAGCAAATAGTATGTCATGGGTAGTTAGTAGTCAGTCGTACATTGTAAGCAAGCAGTCAGCAGCCAGAAGTGGGTAGTAAGGAGCAAGACATCAGGAGTAGTTTGAGAACATCAACGTAAATACTTTAGGCGTTGGGTTTGACCATGACACCATGGAACCCGGACGCTCATTCAGCATTGAATGCAAAAGGGTGCTTGCCAAAACGTAACCAAACGGTGTGCGATCCAAGTCCAGCGATGCACAGATGCCAGACTTGCCAACAATGATTACCCCCCCTCCCACCGCGCATGCTTGTGGACCACTCTGGCAAAGTATTCATGGATATATACTCCCTCCCGGCAGAAGATTTCAGCGCTCTGAGCTGGCAGCAGCCCCGTTTGCCTTCTCTTCGCCGCGTTTGCCAGTCGCAATGCGGCAATGCGTGCCCAGTTTTGCTTCAAGGTCAATCTCAATGAAAGTGCTATTTGAAGGTGAAGTGGAAATGTGACACACCATCCTCTCAAACTGCAGTATGCCTTGCAGTCTTTCTTTCTCCTTTCTGACTAGGTGTCTCGGCCAAGTGGAGAAGGAATCCCATGAAGGGAAGACATGATGTGTGAACATTGTCAAGCGTACTTGGTAAAGTTTCGTTCCTTGCCCTGAGGTTTTACAAGAATGGCTTGATCGACTGTTTCTGTCCATCCCGGCATGAAGAAAAGAACACAAGTCAACATTTCGTGTTTGCGTGGGAGTTACCCACACATCATGACTTTTATGTCGCGTCGTCATTTTTGATCCTGCAGTGAGCAGCATGCCATGCAAATTTGTGGTGCTTGTGCACATGCAAAAATGACGATCTGCGCGGCTGGTGGCTTTTAGCTATGTCAAGTTCGCAGAGCCAATCGGAGGGCCAAGGGGCCCGGAATTCTGATGGTTACAACATGTGTTTTCTTCCACTCAGACAAATCCCAAGCGAACCCGGCATCTACAGACGTCATGTTAAACTATATTATACATATATATATATATATGTATATATGTATATATACTATTGTGTATTCTGTCAACATGTTTGTGCTTGCGCGCAAGCATTGCGCGTGCTAGAGCGGAGTTTGTCACTTCCAAAGCCATGGCCGGCGTGGCTTGCCTGAACGCAGGCTTCCATGCAATTGGTAACCGACTGCCCCCCAGGTCCAGAAAGCCGGGCGCTGGTGGCTTGGGGTGCGAGCCCCGGATGAACGGCGCCTCTTGGTTTGGTTTCGAGTGGGTTTGGGGTTGGTTTAGGGTCGGTGTATAGGTTGGACTGTCTGAAAGCCGCGCAGGCAGTCGGCTACTTGCTTGTCGCAATGGCTGGCTGGCGGCGTGCCAAGCTGCATCCGCTTTTCCGCCACCTTGTGATGAGATCGGAGCCGAGGCCTGCCTTCGCCGGCGCGCACCCCGGTTTCGTGGACTCCTGGGCCATGCAGCGACTGGTTTGCCGAGGTCCTTCGAAGGCACCTAGGACCCAGCGTCGTGTATTTTTTTCTCCAGTATTGAGGCTTGAGGAGTGTTCGTGCCAAACCCTAGTGACCAAGTTGCGCTGCCTTTTGTAAGACGTGCTCTGCGTTTCGCTCCCAAATGTTAATAATATTGCACGAGCTCGTTTCTTCCACAGGAGCTGCACTCTTCCCGTGCTCCGTGCGATGCCGCGGACCTTGGTAATTTCGGAAGCAACGTGGTTTCGGGTTTTGTAGCACACGTGTTGTGCTTGGTTGCCTCAAAAGCAGACACACACACACACACACACACACACCCATGTGCGGATGCACATCCCAAAGATCTAAAGGGTCAAGTGTTTGGCCTGAGGCCTCAAGATGTGCGGCTCTCAGACTTGGCCTCTTGCATCCTCAGCTTGGACAGATCACGGATTCCTCTTTTGGTTGCCATTTGTTGCAGGGCCAGAAGGAAACAAACACAGGGGAGACAATCACCCACCACTCCCAATGGTCTGACATGGAGTTTGTACACTCCTCGCTGCAATCGCCTTGTGGCTCAGCGGAAAGTGCCTCAATTTCGCCGTCATATCCTAGGCCAGGGATGTTCGATGTGTTGCGAGGCTTCGTGTTCGATTGCCAGGAACCATGGCTTCTGTCCCCGCTGCAGACCTTAGCCCTGAGCAGAAGGACAGCCGAAATTGCCTCCCCAGAAAGCTTCCAAAAGGTGTCAGTTTGATTAACCTTGATGAGTAGAGGTGAATGCTTTGCATGTTCCCTGGAGTAAGTGACCCAACACTGTACAAAAAGGCAATCTGACAGAAGCCAAATGTCAAGTCTTGACTTGGAAAGCCAGACTCGACTGTTGGCTCGTCAGGATGAGCTTGTCTGCACCTATGCCGCCCTCATTCTACATGATGACGGCGCTGAGATCACGCCAGCAGCCATGACCAACCTGATCAAGGACTGACAAATGAGTGGACTGGGTGATCTTCACTGGGTCCCTAGTGGTAGCGTAGCATCTTGCTGGGTTCTCTTTTGACGGGTCATTGCTTCAGGTTTGCTTGCGCCCGAGCCGATGGCAGTAGATATTTTCGCATCCTCATCAATTCCTCTGACATGCGGGGGCTAACTTCGGGTTGTGTTTCGGTGTATCCTTTAGGCTCGGCATTTAGGGATGTCATGTTGGATGAGGATTCAAATTATTGTGTCAACATGTGCCAAGAAAAACCAGGGTTTGCCTTCATTGCGTTAGGCTTGCTGCGCAGCAGAAACATGGGGCAAAACAATGCACAAGGACTCCTTGCCTTTAAACTGTTTAAACTCAATCCTAACTCTGATGCATTCAGCTGAAGCCTGCAGGTCAAGTACCATCAAGTACCCATGTTGTGGGCGGGGGATAAAACCGGCGTTATGGGCAAGACGCCCAATGACCTGTTTAAGCTTCGGGCCCAGTGGCTTTCGGACACTCTGCACAGGCTTCTGGCTGCAACGTGGAGGCCTACTGGCCCATGCTGATGGTGCCTTGCCTGAATTTGTCGCACCTCCAAGCTCCTCAGGGTAAGCTGTGCGGAGTGCGGGGAGAAACTTTCGGCAGGCGAAGATGATCTCGAACGTCGGCATGGAGACGCTCATCAAGTGCCTCGGGACCAAAGATGGACACCACCCGGAAGTTGCGTTGGAGCTGCCAATAGAGCTCACACAACTGGCTGCGGGTCAAAGAGTTGGTACCCAAAATGGATCCCTGGTAAGTGGAACACAGGATTAAACCTGGGTCCCCTGGTTTAGTTTTGACACCCAACTGATGGACGCTTCAAAACCCCGAAACCTCTCAGGCTTGGCAGCGGCGCCGGCGGTGGGGGCGGCGGCGGAGGCGCCGCCGCGGCCGGCGGCGGCGGCGGAGATGCTGGCGCGGGCGGCGGAGCAGCCGAGGAGAAGAAGAAGGCGACTTTGTGGTTTCAACGGCGTCGTGGAGTTGGGTTTGCCTCCTTCTTGGGTTCTTTGGGGACCCTTTCTCTTCTTGGTGTACAATGGAAACCAAAGGACGGTTATACATTGGAAAAGAAACCAATGAGTGTCAGAGGAGGTAGGTCGGACGCTCTTCACAGGTTCGAGCCATATCTGGGTGGTTGGAGGTGAGTTGGGGATCGTAGCCAGAATGTGCGGATGTCCGCCGTTTTTCTTTCTCATTTGAGTAGCGCTCTGGGCTTGATCACGTCACGTGCTGCTTCGTGTTGAGCGGGAGTTCCTTGCCCCATCTTTAGGTCGAGGAAGAGGAAGAGGAAGAGGAGATGGATTTCGACCTCTTCGGCTAGGCGGGGTTGAATTTGTGATACATGTTTCTGCAATTTTTCCTGTGCTGCTTGCAGGCTCTTTGTGGTGGTTGCGCTTGGAGAGGCAAAAACACGGGCGGAGAGGCAACAAAAAGCGCGTCGAGTGCCATTGGTTGGAGCGGGCATGGGCCTAAGAAGGACTCTGTCCCAGTATTGTAGATGATACGTGCCGCGCTACCTGGGGCATTGGTTGACCTGACTTGTAAGGAATCCATGTTTGGTTTAAATACAGGGAAACGAAAACCCGTCAGTTGTTGGGGGGGTCCAACTCCACGCGGCAAAGTTGTTTCCTACTGTGGATGGACGAAATCCTGCACCGGCTAAGAAAGCCTGGAATGATGATTCCCCTGTAAACACCAACAAACTGTGGTTTCAACCATGGTTTCAAAGTGGTGCGACAGCAAGGTGCAAGCGGCGGCGGCCGCCGCGGGCACAGCAGCCGCCCGCAAGGAAGTGAGGCTTCGCCTACTCGCAGCGGCTGCCGCGACCTGCGAAAGCCTCGGAACGTTTCAAGGGATACTGGTGCTCTTTGGAAGCGAAGGGTATTCAATGGACACCACCAGGAAGCCCGCCCAAGCATATTGGGGGTCCAAGTCTCTATATGCAAGGGATGGGGGTGGACATAATTACATGGGCTTTTTTTTTAAACGGGAGGCCCCAAAATGGTTGGACATCTTTGGTTTCCTTTCAAGCCATCCCAGAAAAGGTAGCCTCTAAAAAGATACAGACCCATATGCCATGTCTCGCTTCGAAGAACTGGCCCAGGCAGGGGCCAGTGCGGCAGTGCCGCGGCCCGCGATGGAGCGACGCAGCGGTCTTCTTGGTTCTCACATTGCTGTTTTGGGGGGTTCGTTTTTGTTTTGTTTGCGGGCTTTTGTTCTTTCAACGTGAGGACCTGTAACGACAATGACGGAGGCTTACCAATTTCCAGGATGAAAATATGGGAAATGCCTCCATCATCCATCTCTTTACCCTTCTCTTTGCCTTTCATAGTCTCATTTGCATTTCCTAGATTTATTATTTGCAGGAAATGCACGAGAAGAAAGGAAAGGAAGAGGTAAGAGATAGTGTCCTTGCTTTTTTGGGACATCTCTTCTGCCTTTATCCGTCTTATCCTCACTCCACCTTCATTCACATCCCAAAGTCGTTCATTTTGGTTTCATTCTGGATTGGACGGAAGGACAAGGAAGAAGATGTAACGGTTGGACGGCTTGGAAGGTAGAACAAAGGCATCAGCATGATGGAAAGGCAAATGTAAAGAGAGATTCTGCTGACACCTTCCTCCCTCCTGCATTCTGTATATAAGGCCCTACTTTGCGGGACCCGCCGATGGATTTATTTTTGGGGGTCGAGACAGCTTGGGTCAGGAGCCTTGCAGCTCATCAAGGCGATCGAGGCCTTGAATCTCACCTTGGAGCCTGCGAAGCAAGCAGGCCAGCACGCGGAGGGCTCGTTTTTGGTTGCGTCTGTGCCAGAGTTGGACCCCCCAGAATGGCGGAACCTCCCTTTGGCTTCCCTTGAAAGATACACCAAAAAGGGTAATTTGAACAAAAAGACACACCCCTGGCAGGATTTCCGAACTCTCTCAAGTGCATGGTTACGCTGTTTGAGAGTAAACCATTTCCGAACTCTTTCCGTGTGGTTGGTTGCCTAATGCCACCACATCATGTCCACGCTTGGGGTCCCCCTGAAAAGACACCGGCTTCACGCCCATTTTGGCGCTTCCCAGCGAATCGTCTAGTTCCTTAAACTTTTGGTTGTTTTTAGTGGTTGTTAACCAAGTCACTTTAGTGGTTGTTTTCATGTTCCGCTTTTTAGTTTCCATTGTTTCCACCAGTTCGTCACTTTTCGGGGACCCGAATCGGACAACCTGAAGTGGTAGGTTACCTGGAGGGCACCTGGCGTCTCATCTACGCCTCCGAGGCGCGAGGACTCGCGAGGACTCGCGCGCGAAGGCGCGTCGGTGGCAGGATGTGACGCGGTCCTCGCCCTTCTTCTGGGGCTGGCGCCAGCTTCTGAAGGCAGGAAAGCGCAGCTTACGGAACGGCGGGCGTTCTGATTTGATATACATGCGTGTATATATATATATATGTATATATATACACACATATTTGTATATATATATATATATACATATTTGTATGTGTATATATATATATGTTGGTTTGAAGCAGCCTCGTTGGTTTCAAAGGGACACCACACGGAGCTGTGCTCATTTTGGGGGTCTCGGACCCCTTGCGCACGCGAGGGCATCCCGGACCCATCCCCCGTGAGCCGTGCAGTTCTGGGCACAGAGGACCTGGCATGACACCTTGGCTCACCAGTCAGCGGTGGAATCATGAGGATTCATATCCAGCAGAACCATCTTTGAACCATTTTTGAGGTGGTTCTTTCCACTTTTGAGGTGGTTGTTTCCAACTTTGGGGTGGTTCCTTCCATTGAAATTCATAGCCAAATCCTGCTATGAAGTGCAACTTGCCTATAGGGAAAAGTAGGAAAGAATGGGGAGAGGAGAACTCCCTACTTACCCCCAAATAAAACCATGGTTATAAGCTATCTCCGAGATGGGTTGAACAAGGAGCCGCCGTTTGGTCGGGTTGGACACACCCTCCCCCCCCCCACCCCCCGCATCAACCAGCCACAGGAGCTCTCCGAGTCGATCTTTGCCATCACTGACGGCCCAGAACCCAGAACAAAAGCTTTTCACTCGCCGAAGAACAAGAAGGGCACGCGACAGGGGACAGTGGGCTGCCAGGCATTCCGATGAAGACCGTTGGGGAAGCCACGCAGACTCTCGTGAACGGACAGATGGTGAATCGCGTGGAAGTGGAGGCGGGGCCGTGACCAGTCATCGAGGCTCATGGCGTTGAGAATTTCCTCAGTGCAGGTCTTCGGCTTTGGCAAGACCGTCATGACCACGACCTGCAGGCGGGTGGTAGCTCCCATGGCTTCTGTGCTCGCGAGATTAAACTGACTGGAGAATCATTCTTAGGTTATTTGCCTAAGGGAACCATGACCCATGGGCCAAACAAGTTTTGACCATGACACTGGAGTTGACCTTAGGTACGAGCCGATCAATGGATCTGAGCTGATGCTCACGGTGGAGACGACGCAGGCTGACGCCGGACCGATCCTTTCGCCTGAATGGTTGCAGTTTCCCCATGTGTCTTGTTTAGGCTCAATACCCAGCTTGCTGCGTTGGTCTGATTTCCAACTCTCAGGAGCGTTTGTCTTTTGGAGATGGTTGTAAAGGAAACCAAGAAGGACACCGAAGCAGTTTTTGGCGTGTGTCAGGCAGTGGAGAATACTCTGCCCTTCGCAGATCAGGTTGTTTTCCCATCCGAGGCGGGAGGAGTGCCAACAAAATTGGAGAAGACCCGAGCAAGGAAGGAGCAAACGGTGGAACTGGGTGTCAGACTGGGAATTGGCTCCTAAATTGGTCGACTTCCTTTTGAGTTTCCCGAAAAAATACCAAACGGAGTCCACAACTTGCGAGAACCTCACAAATGCAAGGCAGGCTCTATTGGTTGCCGATCCCTTGCCAGTCCCTCCTTGGAGAGAGTGCGCGGGTTCGTGTGCGCATCACGTGCGCCAGACTTGCGGCCTGTATGTTCTCACCTGGCACTGCATCACATTGTATTGCTCAGGTACCTGGATGATGTCCTTCGCATTGTCCGCAATGACAAGGATGATCAAGTTTTCGTGTATGTCAAGGCATGACCGGCACCATGTTGCCACCGGCAGCTTTTGCAGAAGACAGAACCCGAGCCCGATCAGCTTTCAATCCTAGCTGTGCTTGTTGCGCTTTGGTTGGCGAGTTTTCGGTTCGTCGCTGCAGTGTTTCACGTCGGCTCTTCCGTTTCGCGGGCCCCTGCTCTCCACCTTTTGGTAGCTCTCTCTCTCTTCCGCAAAAGGTTCGACACTTTAGGGGTCTGTTTGAGCAACCGGGTCTTAGAGTGACATGTTGAGGCAGGTGGAGGGCTGCAAGTTGCTTTCTTTCTGCCCGAATTCTTTACAGGCCCCGCTTGCTGGACCGAATGCCAGCGCAACAGATTGGGCAAATGGGCAAAACACGGAGAGCGAAGAACCAAAAGCCGGGCCGTATCCGGGGCTGGATTCCTGCAGCGCATGAAAAGGCGGCATGCCTGTCCTCTTGCATGTGCAGCGTATACTCGTCAGGGAAACTCGCGATCGTTCCACGCAGGCTCGGTGGGAAAGTCAGTCTGCGGCTCGAGCGAAGACCGCCCGTTTTGACTGTTCATTTGAAAACTACTTTGCCATCGCTGCCGGACACAACAACCACACATTTCGTCACTGCCCAAATCACCGGACGCAACCGCCTCGCCCGGAAGCCCGGGGCGCGTTTGACGTCGCCATGGTGCCGGGCCTCGAAGAGGAGCTGGGCCTGGCGGGGCTGGAGCGATGCCTCGTGGCGGCCATGGCCTGGTGCGAGGAGCGCCGTGGCCGGAGACGTACCGCGGAGACCGTGGGGGCCGGGAACGCGGTTTTGGAGAGATGAGTCTGGTGCCTTCGTTTTTGTGGTAGCCGTGATTTTTCTCTCTTTGGAGAATGACGTTTTCCAAAGGCTTCTTCTTTGCTGGCAGCTAAGACAGCTGGTTGGCGGCGTCACAATGTCTTTGCATATATTTTGCAAGAGAGCTTCCCATTCACTGAGAATTGAGTGATGACTTGTGGAATTTCTTCCAGATGGACAACTGTTGGAAGCGCCCTTCAGAAGGGTCCTTTCTCAGCCCCGCGACGGCTTGCGCACCACGTGTTGAAGCCATGGTTTCCCTGAGTTTCAGTCCATAGGGTAGCGAACAAGTTGAATGGTTTCAGACGTGGGGTAGGGACAGTCATGGACCTCTTTGATAGGACACTTAGACAATGGTTATGGGTTTGTAGCGCGCCATGACCCACACTTTCGGAGTTTTGTTTGACCACACAACTAGAATCAACCATGTTGGTATCACAGAAAGGGCGGTTGTCCGCCATGTTGAAGTTCAATGGTTTGCTCCAAAATCTGTCCTTCTTTGAGGCTCGTTGACATTTCGGGCATCCCGCGCTTTTTGTTTTGTTTTAAGTACATAATATAGATATACATAATACCACATGACATTTAACGAACCGATCGTGCAATTCTTAGGATCTACCATTTCAGGGGTTCAACGATTCCATTTTAAGACCCATGAGCAGCAACTCTTTTGATCTTGAGCTTCCCCTTCTGAAGCCTGCAGGGCTTCAAACACGTCGCCAGCCCGGTCCATCTGAGGATGGGGCCAAGGGACCTGGAGGAGATCGCTGAGGAGGACGTCTTCGAGGACTTCTGCTCCGCGCTGAAGCTGAAGCCTTTGGAGCGAAGGCCCGAGAGAGTGAGAGAAAAAAGTTCCTCGGGGGCGATATGGGGGAGTTCTGGGCGGGTTCTGTTGGGCGGCTTCTCTGGGAAATCGATTAGAGGGTCATCATAAAAAGTGTCACTCTTGAGTGAAGCTGTGGAGACTCATTCATGACCTTAGTTGAATCGAGTCAGCATCGACTCCAGTGTTTCCTCTCCAGTTGATCATCGAATCAACTGAAAACCAGTGCGGTTGTCCGCTGGTGCGACATGGTTAGCGCTGACACTTGGTGGAGCACTGGCTTGGAAGACAGGGCACTGGCATCGGAGACGAATCGAGCCGAACTGAGGAGAACCCCTCCCAAACCTACGAGGAGACCGTCGGAAACTTGAAACGGAGCGACATCGAGGGGCGTCTCCTCATTTGGGGCTCAGATCTCCGAGCCCGGCTAGCACCATGCTCTTCCGAACCCCAGCTTCGCCATTCCGTGCCATGGGCTGGGTTTGTCCCCCAGGCAATATTCGCTGGACTGCCTGGTGACAACGAATTTCCTCCTCCCCATCCACAAAGCTCATGTGGCGCTGGTGCCACGTGGTAAGCCCTGTGACATTAACTGTTTTCATCGCTTGCATCTGGGAATCAATGCTGCTTCTGCCAGGGGACGTGCTGGCCAGAGATGAAGCTTGGAAGGAAGAAGTGGCACCTCATACTGCCCCCTTGCCCATGGCTCTGTTGCTTCCGTTTTGCAGGGTTTCTCCATATGGACGGATTGTGCAGCAGCTCAGGCTAGACCTCTGGAAAGCGTGTTTTGATTCTTGTTGTTGCCCGCATGTGGGGTGCTTTCTTATGTCACCATTCTCTGCTCGCATTCGTACTCACGTCAATAATCGTACTACGCGTTCGCACTCGCCGCCGACATCGTACTCAGCTGGCGCAACGTGCTCAGCCGAGCCAGGAAGCAAACTCACGAGCATCACGGGGACTGAGCGAAAACCGGGACGCCCCCATCTTCGGGTTGAGTTTGGGTGTGAGCCTCTCGGCCATTCGCGCGGTTTGCCTAAGCCATTGCCTGGAAGGGAAAGGGGACGGTCCACCTCCCAGCGTAAGTGTGCGAGGAAAGAGTGTTTGAGGGTCCGACCGCGCAACACCACTTGGAATCTCTATCTATTTGCACTTGTCATAAAATTGGGTTCGCGGTCGTGTCGTGTTCCCAGTCCACCTGTTGTTGTCAGGCGGACCATGAGAGAAAACTGCCCGCACGGGCACTTTGTTTGTGGATGATTAGTTGTCGCTGCCGGCTCTTGGCATCGCACCATTCTCGTCCATGTTTGTTGAAGCAAGAGAAGATCCGCAAATGAACTCTTGCGTGAAGCCGATCTTCTTGTGATTACGCGTGAGGCGCAGCTCTTTTGCAAAGCAGCTTGGGTGACAAGTTTACTTTTCACTTGTTCCATCACGGGTTCCTCAGGTTTCCGTTTGTGGCTCTCCAAAAGTGCAGTTTCAACGGAGCCTAGAAGCTTGATCCAGGTTCCACCTCCAGTCACTTCCGATCCGAGCCTTGCAAACCGAAAAGCGGCCAGGCGGCTGCTGAAAGGCGCGGAAGGGCGGCGTACCCTCCCATTCGCGTTGCCAAGGAGCCATTTTGCTCTAAAATGGGCCTTTGGTGGGATTTTTGTCAGTGGACAAAGAAGGTAACTTCATAGGATGGCAGCCCAGTGCTTTTTCTTTTGAGGGAAGAGGCACCCTGGAAGTTGGGGAGTGGGGTATGAAGGCCGTTTGAAGAGGCACATACTTCGCATGCTTACATGGCCGCTGACTTGAGCAGGCCAACTTGTGTTGAGAAAATGTTATTTACATGAAGCTACTTCCCAACGTTGTTTGCAAGAAGCTCACTTTTATACAGACCAGAATCTGTCGCTCTAGCGTCACATACCCAGCATGCAGATGTAGCCCATGCTTTGCAATTTTGGCTGATGCAAGCAGCTGATGCTGTTTCTGGGGGCGTACTGAGTATGCAACCTGCTTGACTGATGATTTATGATGCTGCTGCTGCTGCTGCTGCTGATGATGATGATGATGATGATGATGATGATGATGATGATGATGATGATGATGATGATGATGATGATGATGATGATGATGATGATGATGATGTCGATGTTATGCAGGGAGCTCAGCTTCAACCAGCAAGTTGTGCATCACATTCTGACAATCTTCATGCTTCCAATGACAAATTGAGACGCTAGCAGCTGATTGGGCAGCACTATTCTCAAGTTGTAGGCAACATCATGCTACAACTACCCTTCCTCTCGCTAACATAGCATTCGTGGGAGGGTACCTGGAAGATCAATTTCCTGTTTAAGGGACCCTTTGTCAGTGGCAGGGAGGGTATCTACTACCAATTCACATTGAGTGAGTTAAGATTGGTACCGCCCCACCCAAGAGCTAAATATCATGGCATTTGCACACCTGCATCTGAAATTTCTCAACTCGCCCAATTAATCCCCCAATACAGCTAAAACCGTTGCTGCCACAGTCCTTAGTTCAACACTTTCAATTGAAGATGCAGCTCAAGTTGCATCCGCATGCAATCAAGGTGCTAACTCAAGATCAATTGAAGGTGCAGCTCGGGTTGCATCGGAATCTATTTAACGTGCTAACTCAAGATGCAGCGTGATATGCAACTCATTCACGAAACCGCTTGTATCTCATTAAATTCTCACTCACTTTACAACATGGCCTAAGCTGCTGTGTTACATTATGCTGAACATCTGAGTTTCATGCAACTCCAAGAGCATGTGTTTGAGCGCACAACTTTGCACATGATGGCCAGGGGATATCCCACAAGTACCCAAGAGAGCCCACACGTGATCCAAATCCTGGGGAACATGCAGGCCAAACATGCAGGCCACCTGAACTTGAGAAAGGCCTTCACACCATTTGCCGCTTTTGGCCTGACTTGATGTGGGTGGTGGTCAAAACCCAGATACTCTTTTCGGTACCCTTCCTTCTGTTGGTAGAGGGATTGCCAGGGTTTTCCTGGGATATCCACTTCCCAGGCCGCCTGGGAAGGGGTCGCGCTGGCTACGGAGGCCGACAAATGTCCGGGTCAAAAAGCTATGGTCACGTGGTCCATTCCCATAGCTTTTGCCAAGTCTTGGACAATTTGCGAAGCAATACGATCTTGACCCGGTCAAACACAACATGGGCCCCTTCCCATTGTTCTTGTCTTTTCGACAGCTTGCAGAGCAAAATATCGCTCCATTTTTTTGGTGATCGTGTGATTTATTGATCAACTTGACTGACCTCTTGACTTTGGCATCGAAAAGCGACTTTGTCCCATACGAGGCGCGCCGAAAGAAGCCGCGGCGTCGGAAGCAGCCCCCAAGGCAGTGGGCCAGGCAGTTGCTTGGCTCGATTTTTTGCGTTTTTGAGGGGCACATGGCGTGATTCTTCGTTTTTGCTGGGCACCCCCGGTGTATCCAAGAGGAAATTTCTGGTTCGCCTAGAGGAGGTTTTGTTGTCAGCTTTTTGGTTTGTTCATCTTTTTTGCTCTGATGGGAGAAACCTTTTCGGGCCACGGGAGGTCGCGTCTTAAGACGCGACATGTGCGCGCTGAGTTTGTGGTCAAAAACACCTTCCTAGAGCTGGATGATGATGAAGTGAGGCGGGGTGAGATGCCGCAACGATCCGCTCCCTGAACAGACTTTGTGAGTGGAGTGGGCCCCAAAAAGGCTTTTGTACTCGGATCTTTGATCCTTGCCCGGTGTTTTTTTCATTGATACCCATGATTTTCTTGGTGTAAATTAAAGGGATCACTTCCGGGACATCTACGTGAAATGGCCCGAAACACTCAACTTTAGCTGTTTTCCTGCAGAATGTCCCGTAACCCAACCCTTTGATTAAACGGAGGCCAAAAGGACAGACCGGTGCCATTCCGTTCTTTGTTTTCCGCTTGCTCTTTTTTTTCTTCTCTTTCCTTTTTGAGACACGCAGCTCGCCCCAGTTCGCAGGACTGCGCTGCAGCGTTCCAGCACCACGCCCGCGCCCACGTCACCACTGGAGCCGGAGGAGACAAAGGGAGGGCAGATTTTTCGTGCAGACGCGTTGGGGTGCACGGCACCCGCAACATGTGGCTCAAAATTCAACAGGAGGGTTACGCAGGTTTTGGTCCATGTTTTTCCACTTTCCAAGGTTCCATTTTGATACCGGTTTTTTGAGCCTCGGCCACGTCTCTTTCTCTTCTTTTTTTTTGGGGGGGTTTGCCCTTCAAAGAAAACCACAAAAAGTGGCCTCAAAAAGTGGAAGCCACTTGAGGAATCTGGGGTTGATACCTAACATTGCCGCGGCTCATTGGGCTGAAAACATCGCCCAAAACAGGTGCCGTGTGTTTCTGAAGGCTCAAGACATGCGGAGCGCGGAGGCGGCACCATGTTTTTTGTGTGCGTTGTGGACGTTGCAGGACGAAGACGCACAGGAGGCAGAGGCACGTTGACATTTCGTCGTGCAGTTTGGACCGGAGATCGATTTCCGGAAAAGTGAGATGCCAGCAACTGAATGAGCGGAGGCACCTTGTGGATGTCACTTGACAGAAACATCTTGGGAGTGCCTCAGAAGTTCAAGGCAGATGCGACGGCTGACACTCCCCAAACAAATCAGCGGGTTGATCCGTTCCAGGACGCTGAGGAGACAGAGGCCCGGCGTTCGCGGAACCTTTCACTGGACTTGGATTAATCTGCTTTGGCTGGCCTTCTTGGAGCATGACATGGCACATTTTCCTAAGGCCAATTCTCTGGTGTAACTTGCGTTGGCTTCGATGCGCCAGGAAGCTGGGGGAGCGACTGCCAGCGCCATCTACAAGACCTTGACCTTCGACTCTTGGGAGAATGGCAATGACTGGGATTGGATCCACCGTGGCACGGCAAAAGACGTAAGAGCTCATCTGAATATGGGCTGTGAACAGGGTTTGGATTTTTTGAGTTTTGAGGTCCTTGTGGTTTCCCTTCGACACAGCCACAAGCTTTGATACCCTCACAAAACACACACCCTGAAAAATGGTGCCAAGATTCCCGTGGTCTTCTGCTTTTAGATCTTAACCTAACAGTCCCCCCTATTGGCAAAATCAGCAATGGATGTCAGGGGATAATCACAACATTGAGTGGTACAGGGCTCTGTTTCCTCTGTGGACCCACCCAAGTGAGACTGTTTTGTTTCACCCCAAAAAGGGGACCCCAAAAAGGCGACCCTCAAAAAGACACCTGGTTGGGTGCAGGATCAAGAAAGCAAGTGAGGATAATAACATATCCTGGATCAAAGAGACAGAATTTTGTGGATCAGAAGACAAACATTCCGCACAGGGGTGCCAAAGCGCTGAAATTTGCATCCCTTTCCGGCAACAGCGCACGCATTTGTGCGGCTCCGTCTCAAAATCAGCACTTTTTTCCAGCATGCGAGGGTCAAGTTTGAAAATCGCAACTTTTCAGTACAAGCACACGTCGCATCGCCAAAGAGCTATTAGTTTAGGCTTTGGTTTGGGCTGGGTTGATTTGTTCGGGGTGGGTCTACAGTTGGTTTAGGGATTTTCGGCGGCTGCACAATAGATTGAGGGTGAGTGTATGGTTGTTTTTGTTTTGGTTTACGGTTGGTTTAGGGTTTCGTCAGGGTTGGTGGGACAACAGGACCGATCAAAGGACCAAGGGACCAGGGTCCAGGGACCAAAGACAAGACTACAAGCAATTTTTTGTTTTGGTTTGCCAGAAACATTTTTTTTTGCCTGGCAAGTCATAAGCACACTCCACTCAAGCGAGCACACTGTGAAGCAAAGAATGCAGTGAAGACGTTGAGGCGATTGGAAGACCAGACCAGAAGAATGAGACCACGGGACCAAGAGACCAGGAGACCAAGCGGCCCGGAGACCGGAAGATCAAGAGACCGGGAGACAAACAGACCAGGAGACCAGTCGGGGACCAGGAGACTAGGAGACCAATAGAATGAAATCAGCGGACCTCGATCATTCATCCCCAGGTGGTTAAGGTCCCAGCGCTCAAACTGGGAGTCTCCCCGATTACGAGATGGGCTCAATTTAGGTATGTGACAAACATGGCGCCTTGAAAAAGGGTCATGGAGACGTCAAGGTAGCCCGTGATTTCGGTATCACCCGCCAAAGGGGCGCTTTGCAGCGAGGCAACCAGCTGGAGGCTGTGATGGAGCAGCCCAGCGAGGCGAAGCCTATGGGACCGTGGATGTTCAATTCACTAACCTGGCGGTTGGTGACAGGTGCTCTTTTTTTTTCTTCTTTTTTTTTTTTCTCCCTCGAATCTTTGCCACTGAGCTTTATTCATTTGTTTTGAAGGGGATCTGAAAACGGACAGCCCGTAAAGTCAAGCAGGTTACAACCATGAACAGCATTGTCATGGTTTTGACTGTTCCGGGGATGCCGAAGTCACAAGTCTTTGGTTGCCCTCCTTACTACCTCTTTGGAGTGTAGCCAATGGTTTCCACTTTTAGAGATCCTTCGCACCATGGTCACGGTAACATTCCCTTATGCTAGAAATCTGAGTTTGTTTGTGCGCATGCGCACGTGCGCGCGGATGTGTTGGCTCGCTACCCTTGTCTCTGGGTCTTTGGGCCAAAGAGAGGGACTTCCAAAGCCCAGGTCGGGGGGGTTCGCCCGGAACAGGGCGGGAAGCCCGCGCCAGGAGTTCGCGCAAGACCCGGAGGTGGGCGGCGGTTCGCCGAGTGCCGGAGTTCTCCGGTGGCGATTTATATCCCGTTTTTGGAGCGGCCTTATTTTTTTTGTGTCTCTCGGGAACCCAGAGTTCGGGCCTGGGATCGAAGCATTGTGACCAGAAGAAGGGTCTCTTGGATGTTTAGCCCAGATATTTCGTGGGTTGGACTCTGGTTGGAAGGGAGCTAAGGAGCTGGGGAGCTAAGCATTTTTGTGGGAGCTAAGCTGGTATCCATTGTTTTTGTTTTGCAGAGGGAGTGCCGCAAGGAGTTCCGTAAGGAGATGGTAAGGCTTTTGGCTTCAAGGCTGTGAACCTGTCAGGCAGAGGTGGGTATGATGCTGATCCCCATGGAGGCCATGCCCGGGTACATGCCGATGCCGGAGATGTGCTTCACCCCAGGCCAGGGGCTTCTGCTCTCTTTTTTTTTGGTCAGAGGGTAGAAACCCTGAGGTTCGGATTTGGGTTTGCATGGGTTTGGGTTTAAAATTCAGGTAGGGGGGAAGTGGTTTCAACCACCCCCGAAGCTCCGAACCGCCAGTTGAAGGGAAGCTCCAGATGGGAGTTTGGAGGCCAGATGGATGTTGGAATCTCGGGGAGTTTGGAATCCAGCTTTCTAAGCTTCATTTTAGCTCCAGCTGGATTCCGACCTTGAGCGCCACTAGGCACTAGGCTCCTGAAGCTGCCGATCGGAGTTTAAGCACAGTTCGGGGGGCAACTGCACGCCGAAAGCCATCCCTGGTAGATTCCCAGTTGCACGTGTGGCACACTCTTTTTTGGCGCGCTCCTTCGGCATGGATACCAAACACATCCGCAGGTGCACGAACCAAATCGCCGCAGGAACTCGAAGCTCGGGGCGCTTCTCGCGTGTCGTTTCGGGCCAGGCTGCTTCGCCGTGCCCATGGACCGCTTCGGGCGCTTTCCGGGGGTCATGGACCAGCTGCCCATCCCAGGCGCGACGCAACAGGGCCTCGGAGCTCGGCTTTCCGTCTTTGGTTTCCGTTTTGAAGGCAAAGGGGGGTCATCCTAGAAAAGACACTTAAATGGGTGCCAAAAAGAGGACCCCCCCCTCTTGAAAAATGGGGGTACCGACTGAAAGAAGACACCAGGCAGGGTGTTTCCTTTTGATTTCCAGTAAAACACAAAAATGGGGTACCCTCAACAAAAAGGCACACACACACACCATGTGAGGTTTGGGACCAAACCTCCTGTGGTGTATGCTTTCTTCGGGAGGGGCAAATTTGGACGAGCTCCTAACAAATCCCGCGCAGAATCCAGAGGAGCCCCAGGATTTCTTGCATTTGCTTAACTGGGAACCGTCTACGCTTTTTTTTAAGCTGCGCCCAGATACGACCATCGCGGACAACAAGCGAGCGCAGGCAGGGAGTGTCAAAGCTTTGTTCCAGCCGTTCTAGTGGCGGTAGGGAAGCCTCGAAATAGGTGGGTCCCCCCCGTTCAATTGGGCCAATCGCATCATTTTTTGTGTCTTTCATGTGAAGATCGTAGTCTCTTGTCTTGTTTTGTTGCGGGGGGTGGGGCGTTTTTCAACCAAATTGACGCCTCCAGAGAAGGACTTTTCGAGGGGCCTTGAACTCGGAAGAGGTGTTGCAGCGCGCCTTCAGCGTCGCGAGCAATGTCTACAGGATTCGCTGGACCGTGGATGCCAGGAGTGTCGGGGTTCGGGCTACTTGATGTTTTTTTTTTTTTTTTTGAGGGTATCTTGTTACCCTGGGCTTAAACATACTATCCTTGGACAAATCTCCATTGGCTTTTCAATATCTTGGTTGACATTTTGAAGGTAACCCTTGATTGGTGGTTTGGAGGGGTGGTTTGGATTGGTAGAGGGAAAATGGAAAGCCCCTCCTTAGCCACACCACCCATTACAGGGACCGACTGTTCACCTTGGTTTAAACATACAATCTTTGGACAAATCTTCATTGTTTTTTCAGTATCTTTGTTGAACTCAGCACGAACATCCACAATTGTCAACCCCTGATCAATGAATTAAGGGGCCCGCCCTTCAGCGAGGATTTGTTTGGGGGACCCGCATTCCCTGTTTCTTGGTTTTCACACATGAGCCACAATCCAAACCCGGGTAGATGAAGGTTAGTAAGGGACGATCCCAACCATAAATAGCTGCGGCCGCCTTCGTAATCCTGTACATGGTTCTGGGAATCGACCATTTTTGTACCAGGTTTTGATTGCGACTCACATGCCCTCAGCAACTTCCGGTCCGAGCGAGGAAACTGAAGAGCACCGACAAGGAGGCGGTGTCCCCGCCCTTTGACCTCACCTTCTCTGGAGGACGGGTGCCTTGTGGCAGGCTTGGTTAAATTTTTATACATGATATATATATATAGATAGATAGATAGATAGATAGATAGATAGATAGATAGATAGATAGATAGATAGATAGATAGATAGATAGATAGATAGATAGATAGATTACTACACATATATATGTAAGCACACACACATACACATATATATATATATATATATATATATGGTACCCCCCCCCCCTTCATGGACCCTGGTTTGGTGAGCTTGAGCTGTGTTTTCCCCAGTGTTTTGTGCTTTTTTTGCCTCGTTGATTTGGTGTCAACAGGTGGAGGGGGGAAAACCATATGAATATATATATATATATGGTACCCCCCCCCCATGGACCCTGGTTTGGTGCGGTTGACCTGTATTTTCCAGTGTTTTATGCTTCTTTTTGCTTCTTGGATTTGTGTCAAAATTGGGGGGAGGGTCATACATGTATATGATACGCATGCATGCATACAGATGTGATAAAAGCAATGACATCAGCACCTGCAATCTGAAAGAGATTGAATGCATCCAAGAATACAAGCACAACTCAGACATTTTTAGAACATATTCTAAATTATGGGATTCAAGATTCAAGATTCAAGAATGTGAGAAAATATTTTCTGGGAATCTTGAATCTTGAATCTTGAATCCCATAATTTTTAAAAGTTTTTAAAACAATATGGATTCAAGATTCAAGATTCAAGAATCTGATAAAATATTTTCTGGGAATCTTGAATCTTGAATCTTGAATCCCATATTTTTTTAAAAGTTTTAAAAATTCCAGGGTTGTCCCAATACTCTCGGTGTTCAATAACATTCTCGGAAAAGTTTTCCGTGAAATAGTTCAATCCAGTGGTAACGGATGTTCGAGGTGATAGAACAACTTGAACATGTTAGGGGTTGACCAGGATGGATGATTCTCAGGAAGGTGGTGGTTTGTGGGCTCCTCAATATTGAATCCCCAATCCAGTGGTAAAGCACTTTCAAGTGTTAGACGAACTTGAATGCTATTTGGGTTTGGCCAGGATTGACAATTCTCAGGAAAGTGTTCTGTGTAATCTTCAATATTGAATCTTCCATCCGATAGTAGCAAATTTTCAAGTGCTTAGCGATCCAGTGGACACACTTTCAAGTTATCGGTTAGACAAACTTTCAAGTGCTTTTGGTGAGCTTCATGTCAGCTATGCTCATGTTGACCCCTTTCCAGGAGGTAAGCAAAGGCAGGTGCAACGCTCAAAAATACTGCATTTTCCAGTATTCTATGAGGAGGTGCAGGATCATTGGGGGTACTATATATGTGTGTATGTATGTGTATATATAGATATACATATGTATGTACGTTCACACACCGTCCCCCACCCTCTTCAACTACCTGTCCACATTTGCTCATCTACTACCTCCACCTTTTGAGATAGAATTAACTTTCCTGCGCAAATAGAACTTTAAATGCAACGGTTTAGCTAGAATCCCTGTTTCGAGATAGTTTTAGATTTTGAACTTCTCTTCCCTTGAAAGGGCCAGAATGTAAACAACACAAATTCTATTTTGAATTTCCAAATGTTTAGCCATATTTAATATGAATTATATTTGAGATGTAGTCTCTATTCACTTGATATTATCAAAAGCAAATTGAGTTGTGTTCGTCTTAGATTATATTTATCACTTGGATTATATTTGGGAAAAAGCTTCCATCTAACTTCTTGTGTTGTAGATTAGTTGGAGTTTAGCCGAAAATATATATATTTACATTTTCATGCAGCTGCTATTTGGAAAGGATTTGCTTGTTTAAGCTGTAATTGAACATAAACACATTTTTGAAAACTATATCCATACTAAACTATATTCAAAACTCCAATTCTAGTTGAAGTAGCATCTTATTTGCAAAGGGTATCATACTGGGACATTGTGGAGGACTCCGAACTCCAAATTATCACGCTTTGGGGACCCACAATTGGAAATTTCGAGAATATAAATTTGGAAATTATAGATTTGCCATCCCCAAAAGGCAGTAACACCAGGGTCCATGGGGGGGGGGTTGCATATATATATATATATATTTATGTATATATATATGCATGTGTGCATACATCCGGTTTTTTCTTTTATTGCCTGGGAGTTTTCTCAGGCGACGGTTTTGTCCACCCCAGGCGCGGTGCCCTTCAAGATGATCATGCGCCCCCGCGTGGTGGCGCAGGAGCGGGGCGGCGCCAGCTTCCGCAGGCGGGAGGGGAGGGGAGGCGTGGGAGGTTCGCGTGGCCTTGTTTTTTGGGGGGGTCCGTGTTTTCCTTTGGGTTCTAGGTCCCCCAGTAGTGCCCTTTTACCGTTTCTTTTTTTTGGGAGAGTTCCCCTACTAAAATTGACTACGGAAAAAAGGGTACCCTTATTCTAGCCTCTCTACTGGAGGACCTAGGGGGTTGGTTTAAAGGGAACGCCCGGCCATGTTGGGGTGTCTTGTTTCGTGTCGATCTTGTTTTTGGGGTGGTTGGGAGTTCCCCAACCCTTGGTAAACCATGGACACCGAGGGAATGTCGGTGAGCGTTGTTGACGGAAAAGCCCGGTGGTCGGGTGAGGTGGAAGGTCTTTGCACATTCGAGCAATCAAAAGGTTAGCATTCGCAGGGTTTTGGGTAGTCTCCGTTGCCCGCTTGTCATTGTAACTCAGATGGAAGTTACATTTTCGCAAGGGAATCAAGTGGACAACATTCGGTGGGGATTCATGTCCACCAGCCACTTTGGAGGTGGTTCCCTTTTAAAATTAATCGCCACGAGCCGTGCGCACTTGCCTGTGTCGCTTTGTCAGGTCACGCGGACGTGGGAACATTCAGCTGCGGTGCATGGCTGCCGCTTGCCGATTGGAATTCCACAGGGAGCCATAGGAATTGGCGCGCACAAACATTCCGAATTGCCACTGCCGTGTGCGTTCAGAGAGATGACCCTGGCTTCATCATTGCATCTCCTGGCGCTTCTTTTTTTTTTTTTTTAATATATCATTGTTCTCATTCGCCTTACAAGGTTCCCGTTGGTTACTGATGCCTTCCTGGATGCCACCAAGGAGTCGGACACCGACACCAAGCCAGTGGTGACTTTTCGCCTCGGTGTTGGCAGTGACAAGGCTGGAGTGGTTGAGACTTGTACAGAGGCGCACAGTTTCACGGACAAAAGGTGTGTCACGTGGGTTCCCAAAAAACCAGCACACCTTTTGGAATTTTCCCGTTGAAAGGGGCCTTTTGGTCTCCCCTTTTGAAAGGCGGGAACCCGCGCCAGCGTTCAAAACGGCCACATGACCCCATCTATGATTTTTTTTCACATGGTTGGTGGCACTTGCCCGCTCTCCTTGGGGCTTTCCCCCCCCCTCCGGTTGGTGGCACTTGCCCGGTTTTCTTCGTTTTTTTTTAGGCCGTGTGTCTCGAACCGCTTTCCCAAGCGCTCGAAACGCGCGGGGCCGGAGGCCGCCAAGCAGCTGAAGCCGCGGGGCCCGGTGCGCCACGACTTCTCGGAGCCGCTGGGCGCGAATTGGAGCTGAGCGCATTTTTATTTTTTTAAATATATATATATATATATATATTACAATTTTGACCAATCAACATGAAATAAAAAAGAAGTAGAGATGAGGTTAGGAGATAGGAAGGACTGAATGAGCCAGAGAGACTGAGAGAGGAGAACAAGCGAACACAAGCAAACACAAGCAAACACAAGCACCCACACACAGAGAAACACCGATTCCAATATGGAGATAGGGCGCAGCGCCGCCATTTTGCCGAAGATTCGCTGCGGGGCGTTGGCTACACTGAAAAGCCTTGGCCAGGAAGAACATTTGCGGACTGCCTCGTGGGCAGGATGATTGGGATTTTGGCAAGGCACCGTGCACTTGTCGAGTCTATGCCGTGTGTCAGGTACCCCTGAATTGGTGGTTTAGATTGGTGGGGTTTGAACCCCAGTTCCCTTTGAAGCCAAACAGAGAAGGTACCCCCAAACCTCTGAACCACCAAACCAAATTCTTGCCCGAACGGCCAGGCAGTGGACGAAAAGACGCAGACCTTTGTGGTTTGCCTCGAGATCCTGTCGGGTGAATGAGCAGTTTGGCTCAGAGCTCATCCAAGGTGTCACCAGAGCAATCGAAGAAAGCCGCGCGGAAAATCATGAACGCTGGCCATCCTTGGTAGTTGCCAGTGCTTGCAGTCGGCTCCTTGAGAGGTTGACCAAGCTGGGTTGTTGAAAGTCAGATGGATTAGCGTGCTTTGCCTTGTCGTGTCTTATGCGGAGTTCGCATACTTGGGGGATTCCCGTGTTGAACAACCCCAGCTGCCAGAGGTCAAGTCTTGGTGCGAGGCTACTTTTTGTTTTTTGTTTTTGGTGGGCATTGCGGGGAAGCCCAAAAAAAACACCCTTCTGCCCCGTTTTTGTTCGGATCCCGGCCTAGAAAAAGGGACACCCCCGGCCGCTGGAAGAAAAAAAGGACCTCACGCTGCTTCCCTGGCCGTTGGGGTTCGAGAGCTTGTGTTGGTCGCCTGGGCTCGGGGCCCGGGGCCCAGGGCTCGGTCGCATTGAGATTTCGATGGTGCAGTGCCTCTGCACGTGGTAGGTCCTTTGTTTCAGGCTGGACCCAACTGAGATGGACATTGCAGTTTCCTTTTAAAAGTTTTTCCTTTCCCGCTCACACCACCAAGAAAGGGGGAGCAACTCAACAAAGAGTTTTCCGCTTGGTGTCCCTTTCAAACCACCGAAAGGGGGGATCCCTCAAAAAAGACACACCTATGAGTATTTCTTTTTTTGAGGCCCCCTGTTTTTGTGCTTTTAAAGGGACACCAAAAGGACAACCTCAATGTTTCGGGGTCCAACCTTGAAAAAGGACGAGCCGCCCATGAATGCACAGGGGAAGAACTGGCGGCGGGAAGCGAAAGCGCGGGAAGCGCGCTGCGCGCAATTCGTCCTGGCCATGCGCCGCCGCCACGTTTTGTTTTGGTGATTCGTAGTTTTAGCGATTGTGACCAGGGAGTTGAGGCTCACCACCGAGGGCCTAAGTGAGTCATAATCGAAACTCCAGTACAAAAATGGTGCACCTAGCACCATGTGGGTATGGGTCAAAGTTAAACCAACAGGGAACCGCAGATTTTAGTCCATGTTTCCATTTACCAGGGTTCCATTTTGGGTACCCATTTTTGACTCACCGCCATATTGATTGTGAATAAACATTTTTTCAGTAGCCGGCTCAACTTTACGAGCAAAGCTGTGGCTTCACTTGGCTTCTTCTATTTTTCTGGTTGCGATCCAAGACAAATGGGGTGCGACTTTTTTGACTCCACGGCTGGCATGCTTTTTTGGACACGTGTTGGACTCAGCCTTTCCCCCCAATTGGTGGTTTGGTGCTTAATGAGGGGTTCTCATTTACCCTCTATAAAAGTCAGGGGTTAAATCCAAATCACCAACTTGGGGTTGCCAGGTTGGACCGTTCTGTTGGTGTTCTCTTGGGTCAAAATTAAACCACCACAGAACCGCAGGCTGTTGTCCATGTGTCCATTTACCAGGGGTTCAGTTTGGGATACCTACTTACCCACTCCCATTTTTCGTGGGCTGCACAGAGACCAAGGTTTCCTTGCCAGGTCCAGTGGCTCCGACGCGGTGCCGCTGGATACCTTTGAGCCTGCGCCCAATGTTGGGGATGTGGGCCTTTGGAGTTGGTGCCACTTTTTGGGTTTGTTTTAAACGGGCACCAACAAAAAAAGCCAAAGTCGTTTTGGGGTCCGAGCTTAAAAAAAGACAGACCCATCTCAAAGACTTGGGTGGCAGGGTGCTCGATGTTCCCCCCTCCTCCCCACATGGTGGGTCCCGAACAACAAGAAACAAAAAAACAAAACAAAACAAAACAAAGAACAACACAAACTCCCAAAACACACACACACACACACACCCACACACACACACGGGAAAAAAAGAGAGCACCCATTTTGGTCGTCTTTGAGACAAAGCATCAGGCGGGCGCCGCCTCCGGGAGGCGCTCAGTCATCTTTTGCTTATCCGCCCGGACGTACAGAGGACCCGGTGTGGGCGGGCATCGAAGTGGAGAAGGGGCGTGTTTTTTTGTTGTTCCTTGCGACTCACTGTGGATCCAGAAAAAGGTACAGATTTGCCTAAGACGATGATAAGAGAAAGTGACTGAAGTCCGGCATCCTGTTGGACGTGAGTTGATAGGGAACAGAAGCAAAGCACCCCTCCTACTTTCACACATTGTTTCATGGTCAGGACGATGAGCGGAGGCGGCGACAACAGGACTTGGCTGGCGATGAGGAGACTTAGCAATTCCATGGTCAGTTTGACTTGTCGCTGGACAAGCTCCACACTAACTACCAGTTGGGATGGAAGAACCTGATTGGAGAAAGAACCTACCAGCTGCTAGGTTTTGTTTCTCCATATCTTGTGCTACTCATCTTTCAGGAGCTGGCCAGACAACTCGCCGCGCAGCTGCGCTTGACGTCTCCCGCTGGGGCCTGATCAGTCAAGTCTTTGGAACATTTTGCTCGTGGCCAAGTTTGGCCATGCCCGCTCCCTTCGCATGTCGATTCTCCCTTTCGCTCAGCCGATTTCATGCCACACAGCCGGTTTTCCTACGGCCAGCTTTTTGCAGGCTGAAACGGCGCCAGACACAGGCATCGGGAGTTGAACAGGGTGCCGTGTTCTGCGGGGGGCGGGGGGGGGGGGGAAGATGTGAAAGAAGGTCCAGTTGAGGCACAATGAACTACATGGTGTGCTTCCCTTTCGTATCAGGGTTTGATCCTTGTTTGTTTCAAGAATCAATTCGAAGAAGCGACTCAGGAAATTCAACAGGACATCAATTTGATTTTGGGCAGGTGTTTGGCAAAAATTCCTCTGGAACTTCCCGCCGGTTTCTGTGAACGGGGCTTTTGGGAGAAGCCTGGAGTGTTCGATTCGGTGTCTCAAATTCGGGTTCACCCAAACATGGTTGGGATGCGTTTGGCTTGCCTCCAAAAACCATCCGGGTGGCTCGTCTGTTTTTTGGTTGGTTTCCTTTTGGTTTCCCTTTAAAAAGGCAGAACGCAGGTAGCAACTCACCCAGCCAACGTGGGGTCCCTTTGTGAACCCATTCCCAGAGAGGCTTCAGTGCTGAAGAAGACCGGCGCTTGCCAGCAGCTTGGAATTTCCCTCCCACCTGGAGGAGTTCGTGGGTTGTGGCTCAAAGTTATTGACCCAAAACCTGCTGGTGATGAGTTAGGTGTGTTTTTGTTGAAGGTTGGACCCCCAAAATGGATCTCGGATTTCCTTTTGGTTCCCCTTTGAAACCAAGCAAAAGAGGGTTCCCCAAAAAAGGACACACCCAGTTGTTTCTACAGTTACTGGGACTTGAAGGGGCATGTTGTGCTTTTCTTGCCCCAGCCCCATAGCAGAACAATCGCGTGTTGTTTCAGGACCTATTCCCTGTGATACCAAGGGAAGACCCTTTGAAGTGAAGTGATGGGGATGGCCTGCTTTGATACTGTGTATGAACAAAATCCATTTCGTACCGCCTAAGAAACCCTGCAATGTTTCGATTCCCCAACTGCCAACAAACGTTCTGGTTTCAACCGCATCACTCTTCAACCTTGTGAAATGGATAGGGTGTGGTGTGGGCCAATACGGTCTATGCCACGCTTGGCCTTTTGGTCAGTACTTACAGGGTATGTGATTGAATGGAATGCAACCATCGTTTCTGAACGGTGCGATTTCTGGATTTCGCAACCGTTCACAATATCGCAGAAAGGGGGCTGTGCCTTGTCCAGATGGGAGTGTGTTTTGTTTGCGTCAAAATAGGGGGACCCGCAAAAAATGTGGCTGCCCTTTTGGCTTCTCTTTAAATCGCACTGAAAAGGATACCCTAAAGAAACACAGCCATACTTTCCAGATGTGGCCAACCTCCGCGATTGGCGAGCAACGTGGCGATCGTTGCTCGCACACAAGATCTTGACAATCTGCTGTGCCCGAAGGCCACGTGTTGGCGATCACGGGAGCGCGAGTCCTCCTTTTAGCCTTGTCCTCGGTGAGCGAAGGGAAGACCCAGCAACTGCCGCATGCGTTCGCCCAGGAAGTGACATGGATGGTGAGAGGATAGCCAGCAGTCGCCTTGGGTGGAATGCATCGATGTCCGTTTTAGGTCAGTCTGGTTGCACATTGCACAGATTCAACCTGGTTTGAGTTTGCTTGTCAGGTGCCACTACCACAGGGGTTTCTTCATTTCCCTTGCTTGAACCTCCAAAATCGGTAATTTGGTTGGACCATACCAGTAAACTGCAACCTTGGCAGGGGAAATCCGGTGACCCCTGTACCATTTTTTCTGGTGGTACCGTCCTTTTTGTGTGTGTTTTTTCAGGGAAACCAAAAGGACACATTCTTGGGGAGGGGCCCTCAACAACAAGGCAGACCGATCGGTTTTTCCTGGAAGAACTCCTTACGATCGCCATAAGAGGTGTGGAGTACCATGCCATGGACTCGGACACGGAGGATGCCTTCTACGCAGAACCTCCCAGAGTCAATGCCTCAGAGCTTAGGATTGGTTTTGGTCTCAGCATTTCATGCCCGGAGATGGACCGCATGATTTATGTCGTCCATGTTTCCATATTTACCAGGGCAAGCCATTTTGGGTTCCCGATTTTTGACCGGCCGTTTCTATCTTTGGGATCAGCTTGCATGTTTTCAGAAGCGCTTTGCTTGAGCGGCGAATTGATTCACGAAGCTTGTTTTTTTTTGTTTTTGTTTTCGTTTTTTCTTTTTCTTTTTTCGGCCACTTGGTTTCATGGAGAAAGGCTTTTAGAAACCTTTGCTACGAAACAGCTAGAACGAAAAGAAGAACAATGTCTTCGAGTCACGACCTTGCCTGGGTGCTTGAAGCGGGATTCAAGCCCCCTTGCCGCTGCGGACATCCAAAATCGCCCATTCGAGATGTTTACATGATTTCAGGTAGAGTGCCTCAGTACCGGAATAGGGCAGTGCGCTTGTGAGCCCTTTTGGCCTTCGCCCGCATGAATTACGAACCGTTGCCATTCGGAGGGACGTGGGCACTTTCGAGCCATGAGACGGTGCATGAAAGGGAGCGGGCGCAGAGACAAGGCGGCTCTTAGGTCCAGGCGCACACACTACGGATTCGACAGGGCTCCTTAAACGATACATTTTGCCCATTTGAAACATGTTGCTTTTTCCACCAAAATAAAGGGACATCACCATTTACAAGGCAATGATCAGGTGTGTAACGTAAGGATCCCTGTTCGATCCCGCCTTGTTCTCATTGGGTCAATGCTTGACTTGCTGCCTGGGACTCAAGTTGACTCAGGCATCGGGCTACCACCACATCATCTGCAACGTCCTGGTCAACTTGTTCCGGGCCTGGAGACTCAGTTTGAGTCTGAGATGCTCAGTTTTTTTTTTTGAGATGCCCGTTTTGGATTGGCTCAAAGGAAAAGCAGAGGGATTGAATCTCGCCGCGAGCCGGGTTGAGAGAAATCCTCGCGCCTTGCCGCCAGCACACCACGCCCTGTTTGTCGTCTGACAGTAGTGCATTTGTCGTCCGACAGTAGAGCAGAAACCACTGGACAAGATTTGTTATTTTCAGAAGCACGCATTTCTCAGGGGACGCAGAAGGACTCAGCGAGCTCTGTGCAAACCGACCTTCGACATGTTCGCTCCGGAAGGCCGGCGGCTGGGGCAACGGCCGCCCCGTGGCTACCGGGGTGCAGTTCGGGTAGCCCACAAAGAGTTTCACCGGTGGCGGGTGTGTGTCTCGACTCGAGCCGACTCGGTTCCCTTTTCAGCTTGGCTTTTGCTGGGAAAGCCAACAGGAAACCGCAGCATGTCGCGGGTACCCCTGACACATACCCCGGTAGGGAGCCGGGACAGGCTTCCGGGCACCAGTGCATGCGATTGGCATACAACACATTCTGGGCCGGGGGGGAGGGAGAGCACATTGCAGGTACCATCACATTGCCTTTTTTTTCGGGTCCTTGGCCGACTTTGTGGTTGGCTCCTTGTTTCTCTGGCCGAACATCACACGTCATCCAAGATAAAAACTTGCCGTATGGTCGCAGCAAGCACGTGTTCTGAGCTGAAGCTGTGACTTGCTTTGTTTGGGGCGATTTTGACACGATGCATTCGGGGCCAGTCCTGGCCAGCGAACGGACATGGTTCGCACAGCTTAGCCAGCCCGTCGCTAGCTCTTAAGCTTCGCGCGGAAAAAAGAAGAAGGACACGAGATCCGTGCTGATGGGCAACATCCTGCAGTTGGTAGGTGGCTTTTTGCAATTGTAGGGTTTCGCCCGTAGGTGGTTCAGGATTTTGTCCATCCACAGCGCGGAACTCGCGTGGCGTTGCATATGGCGGTGTTTCAAGCGAGAGCCTCCATCTTTCCAGTTGTGCGGTTCAGAGCGGTCCGATTGCGCGGCTCACAGCTTCACAATGTTTGGGAAATGCAGGGATTGCAGAAGAGCGGGCAGCTGAGAGGAGCCGAGCATCCGTCTCTCGCAGTCCAACAGGTTTTTGTTGGGACACCAGCCAGATTCCTCGCAGTCCAACAGGTGACACCAGCCAGAGTGTGAGTTGCCGAGAGCTCAGGTCTTCTGCTGCTACTCTTGACCGTTGAGGGCCTGCGCCCACACCACGGGGACCGTGAGCTTTGGAGCTTTGGAGCTTTGGAGCGATCGGCGCACAATGTGACACCCGAGTGAAGTCGCAAGGTGTCGGCGATTCCCGGCATGTCTCAAAAAAAAGGGGCCCCGTAAAAGGGCGGGGTTTTTGGTTTCCAAAACACAAACCGTCCACCATAGGGTGCCCAATTTCAAGACAGATGCAAAGTGCTCGAGCTCACCCGCGCAATCGCTGGATGGATGCAGGACGCTGTTGAGCTCGATGACAACGCCACCATAGTCGGCAGATTTGTGTCTCAGCATAGAATATCCGTTTCTGAGAACCCAAACTGGGGGTCTCAAAACCCGGCTTTTTGAGGGCAGATAAATCGGGAGCGTGTGAGGAAGGCCCCAAAGCCACACGCAGAAAAGATTCGGAAGGGACTTGGTTCGGGGTTGTGAGCGAAGGGTTCTCAGAACCGTTCTGGTGGGGAGGGTAAGGAATGATGAGCCCTAGATTCAGCCTCTCCCTCGGGAAGAAAGTGTGGTAGGGAACTGGTGGTTGTTTTCAATGTGTTTCTTTCAGCTGTTCACACAACGTTAGACTGCCACATCTTGCTGAGATTAAATCATGGAAAGATCTTGCAGACGACAAGCTTAGACAACATGCATGCCGTTAGCCTGATCCGTTCATTGGGGCCTTTGTGACAAACCTTGTGTCAGTTCTTTTTTGGGTCAAATCTCCGAAATGCGCAGCCAAAGTGTCGTGGATCCTTCGGGTTGGCCGCTTTTTTGATGTCCTGTGCCCGCAAAGTTTTACAGGCTTGCATGGCTCCACCGAGGCCAACGCGAGCAATCAGAGCCTGGAGCTTCAGGCTGGTGCCCGAAAAACTCGCTTGGAGCGCTTCTCGCGTGCCGCTTGTCGCCCAGGAGCTGGAGCGAAGAGCTTCCGAGCCGCTGCGCCACCACTCCGAGCCAAGCAGACCGAGCAGAGGAACGAAGGTCCCACCAGCTCCACAGGAAGTCTGGGACGACCTCAACCTCAGGCTGCCGAGAAAGAAGAGCTCCGGCCGGCGCAGGCCGGAGCGATGTTTGTCAAACATGCGACTCGGGTGTGGAGAGCCGGTTGGCCAGGGGGCATGATCGTCGACGTGCCAAGGGCAACAACGCTCGCAGAGCCTCTTGCCATGCAAAAGGATTTGGGCTTGTTTTTGAGAGATACCCTCCCCACCAATGAACATGGAACCTGACGTTTCCTTGGACCATTTTCCCCTTTTAAAGGGACCGGGTCTCGAACGTCAGGTTCCATGTTCATTGGTAGGAGGGTCGGGATTCCGAGGTGTTCGTCGACTGCGATGCTCCTTACAGCTCCTTATTTGGGCCAGGAGCGCCGGGGATCTTGAATACACGGCTTGGCTTGGCATTGGCGTTCTGGGTTTTGGGGTGTTCGAAGCCCTGGTAAAAGGGTAGACGGGATTCACCAGGCTCCCGGACAATTGGAAGGTGCTTAGATTCACTCCGGGCATCCTGCTCCTTGCAGGGTTCTGCCGGGTGCTCCGCAACCGGGGAACAGGCCCGGTACCCATTGTTTTTGAGCCCGATCCAAGGCAAGGCAGACCCTTCGTTCAAGGCTCCCATACCTCAAAGATGCACTGAATCTCAGCTTCTCCCTAGTTGGTGGCTTGAATTTGTGGTCGGCTGGGGGATGGCAGCTTCCATTTTCCTCCAAGAGCCAGGGCTAATCCAAATCCAAAGCAGCAATCCAAGCCACCGATGCGGGGCCTGGGGCCTGAGAATGGCTAGCGCTAGCTTGGCGCCTCCCAGTTGGGGCCAGGAGACTGGGTCCGAGTTGGTGATGAGCCGGCGCAAGTCGAGGACTGCGACAACCAGACCTGCAGGCGCCAGAAATCGGACACCCATAGGGTCGCTTCGGGACATTGCTGATGGTGTGTCTTAACTTGGGTCGGTGGGCCGTTCTTTTCTCCCATTGCCCGAAAAGGGTACTCAAAAGGCAAAGGCACACACACACACACTTTGGGGTGACTCAAGATTAAAGAGCTAGGGCAAACAGCGGTTTTAGTCTTTGGTTTCCTTCACAATGCCCTTTTGGGTACCATTTTCTCGAGCCGCTGCCACACACATTCGGATTCTAGGCTTCACCTGCTGCACGGCAAGCTGGAAGGGCGGCTTGGCAAAGAAGGAGCAGGCAAAAGGAGTAGACCGCGGCCGATGAGCGGCGGAGTCTTTTGTGTTTTTTGGCGGGGGGGACTTATGTCTCAACCCAATTCACACAGAACCTGACACCAGGATCAATTTGTGGGAGGGCAAGCCAAGTCTCAAACCAGGACGTCTTTGGCTGGCGACGGATCTGCGGTTTGATGGCTCATACCAAAGAGGCAACGGATCATTTCGAGTGAGGCATGACGCTTCAGGCACGGAAGGAAGCAAAGGCACCGTTTCGGCGGGTTCCCTCTGCAATCAGCCAAGAACTTGAAGGTTACAGCCATCCCCTTCGGCCTTAAACGGGCTTTAGTGGGGGTTCCATTCAACCCGCCAAAAGCTGAACTTCTAGCAGGGGATCTGAGAACAGCCCAGCTGGGTTTGTTCGCCTTTTCGAGGTAAACCCCTTCTCGGTTTCCACGTAAAGGTTTGACCAGAGGATGACTCCCAAGAAGTTTCCATCAGGTCCGACAGCCGAGACACTGCGTCGCCCGTGTTGGACAAGGAGACCATGGACGTGGATGCTTGGCCCAGAGGTCAAGCTGAAATGACCCAACTTCAGCCTGGGAAGTTGGGAAGAGAAGGGTCCTTTCGGGACGAGTTTTTGGCTGTTCAGTTTGGTTCTAAGGATTCACTAGTGGAATCCACTTATTTTCCACATAAAACAAACGCCTATGGGCACATCGGTTGACGCTGAGCGCTGGAAATGACTGGCTCTCGCCACTGAGCCCACTGGGTTACCATGTCCACATGCCAATTGCTGCGCCTCTTTCACAGGGGGGTTGTCAAACATGTGTTTTCTTTTTGGACAGTGCTGCCAAAAAGGGACCCTTAAGTTGGGACAACCACAGCTTGGAGACGTGCCCATGGTTGCCCTTTGCCTTCAGGCGAGTTGCCTTTGCCCTTAGCCCCTTGCGAGGAATCTTTCAGGATGTGCGCTCCATTGCAATTGATTGATGCAAGGATAGCCAAAAGCTGACAAACTTTGACAGCTTCCAGAGAGGTGACAAGGCCGCTTTGGGCGAGACGGGCAGACTTTATGTGGAGTGCAACTGGATGAACACATGCAGGAAACGCACACACACACACACACACACACACACACACACACACACACACACACACACACACACACACACACACACACACACACACACACACACACACACACACACACACACACACCCAACACACACACACACACACACACACACACACACACACACACACACACACTAACACACACACACACACACACACACACAC